AATTCCACATAAGATAGGGGGGACATATTATTCGCCAATGTACTGACTCAGGCTCTGCCCTCCTTACTCTCTCTCTCCTTACTTCTACACGTCTCTAAATGATAATTTGTCATGATGAAACAAATTAATTATTTTCTACATCTAATGAAATGCTTTATTCCCAGGTTCAGTTAAAATATGAACAATCACCTTTGAAATTCACAGAAAAGGATTATTTTAGAAACTCAAAACTCACTGAAGCACTCTTTTCAAACATTTGAAACTTTGTACAGTTGAAAACATCTTTAAAGTTTGGAATTCCCATCTAATGCACAACTAGGTAATGTTAATCTTTACTTTGATGGTTTTATTTCCTTACCCTTTGAAAAGGGAACTCTGACCTTTGTTTTAGTTTAAAACTGGAAGGTGGTATTTAAAAAGTTAATAATTTCTAAAAGTTGAGGAAATCAAGCACATTCAGCATTAACCTACTAAGAAAGCAAAGGCAATATCACAAATAAGGTATCCAAACAACCAAATTTCATTGAATTATTTGCATTTCTTTTACTAGGGAAAAATAATGTCTCCTCTAATCTCAAGCCTTTATACTCAACAAAATTATTACCTATGAAAATTTTGAAAAACTAATAAATTATTTTTTGAAAGAATAAGTCTAGTTTGCAGAAAACTAACAGGTGATTATATAAGACACTAATTTTAAAATGATGAGGAAAAATAAATCACATATCAAATAAGGAAAATCCTTTATTCCTTTGTTCTAGATATTAGGAATCATAGTCAAGGACAAATCTGAATCCCATGGCCTTCATCCTCTCCATCATCTTCCTCAACATTACAAAGAATATACACTAAGTGCCAGACTACAAAAATACTATATACAAGTATCATGATAAATCTAGCCCAAAAGAGGCTTTGCTGAAAATAAGAGATGCCATCAAAAGGTATACTCAGGAAATCTGATGCTAGGCTTCGACCCAGGCTTCTTTATCAGATATACAGCTTGCTTTCAATTTTTTAGCAATCATCATTGCCTCATTTACTTAAAAGCAATTTCTTAAAAGTATAGAAAAAAAAATCTTAATTCTCCTGAGAATCCCTCAATGTGTAATTAAATTCTAATCATATTAATAACCAAAAGTCTAGCAAGAGACCATGCTAACATTACAAATGTGACCTTGACTATTCACTGATACATTAATAGGTTATCCATTTGATATTAAAAAAAGTAAAAACAGAGTCCTATCTTATACTATATAATAAGATCATTAAGTGTCAATAATAGACTTCCTGGAGTCAGAGACAACAAAAACAAACATTTTTGGAGGAAAATATTTTAAGACTGTAGGATAGGAAAGGATTACTTAAGACATAGAAAAGGCAAGAAAACAAAAACGGTGTCCATGTTACATTTTAAGCATAGGTATAAGCATAGGTGTAAAGGCAACAAATTTAAAAACCAAGCACAAAGGAGAACATATTTGTAAGGCAATATAACTAAAGATTTAGTGTCTAGATTCCTACAAATCAATATTTTTAAAAATCAACAAATCAATATGAAAAAAAGAGACAATTCAAACAAGAAAACGGATTAGCCAGGAATTCTATAAAAAGATACTCTATCCCACTAATAATACAAGAAATGCCAAATAAATGCATTAAGATACCACTTCATATTCATCAATACCTTAAGTGTGTGACCAAACAGCAACATTTCCAACACCAAAGACTATGTTTAACTAAATAAACAAAATTGAAAGATGAAAGACAAACTGGGAAAAATGATCTGAAGCCTGTGTAGCAACAATAGATTGATACTTTCAATATACATAAAATTTTTACAAATCAATTAAGGATAGACACCTTCATTTAAAATGGGCAAAAAAGGGCCTCCCCAGTGGTGCAGCGGATTGAGCGCAGCTCTGTGAAGCTGTCCACAGCCTCTGTAGTGCCGGTTCCATTCCCCGCCAGCTAGGGAGATTCCCACATGGCAAGGTGGGCCCCTCCTCTCTCGCCCGCTGCTCCCCTCAGCAGTGTACTTCTGTCCGTCTGCCTGTTCTGCTCCCTGCTCTGTCTCTGGTGAATTCTCTCAACCTCCCACGCCTCTGACCTGTACCCCAGTGCTTATATAAATAAATAAATCTTTAAAAAAAAGAAAAATAAAAATGGGGAAAGAGCATTAATAAGCAATTCTCCAACTACAAAGCCATAATCATAAAAACTGCATGGTATTGGAACAAGAACAGACATACAGACCAATGGAATCGAATAGAAAATCCAGAAATAAACCCACAGATTTATGGTCAACTAATCTTTGACAAAGGAGCAAAGACTATGCATTGGAGCAAAGAAAGTTTGTTCAATAAATGGTGCTGGGAAAACTGGGTCGCTACATGCAAAAGAATGAAGCTTGACCACTACCTCACACCATACACAAAAAATCAACTCAAAATGGATTAAAGAACTAGACATAAGACCTGAAACCATAAAATACATAGAAGGAAATATAGGCGAAACACTATGTGATTTGCACATCAAAGACATCTTTACAGACACATCACCCAAAGCAGTGATAGTGAAGGCAAAGATAAACAGCTGGGACTACATCAAATTAAAGAGCTCTGAACAGCAAAAGAGACAATAACAAAAACTAAGAGAAACCCCACCGACTGGGAGAACATTTTTGCACACAACACTAATGATAAAGGACTGATCACAAAAATCTGCAAAGAGCTGATGAGACTCAACAAAAACAAAGAAAATAATCCAGTCAAAAAATGGGCAGAAGAGCTAAAAAGAAACTTCTCTGAAGAGGAAATGCAAATGGCCAACAGGCATATGAAAAAATGTTCAACATCACTTGTAATCAGGGAAATGAAAATCAAAACTACCATGAGATACCATCTTACACCAGTGAGAATGGCACATATTAAAAAAACTAGCAACAACAAATGTTGGTGAGGGTGTGGAGAAAAAGGAACTCTCCTGCACTGTTGGTGGGAGTGCAAACTGGTCCAACCACTATGGAGAGCTGTGTGGAGATTTCTGGACCTACTAAACATAGAGTTCCATATGATCCAGCAATTCCACTCCTAGGTATTTACCCAAAGGACACAGAAACATCAATTCCAAAGAATACCTGCACCCCTATGTTTATAGCAGCACTATTTACAATAGCTAAGCTTTGGAAACAGCCCAAATGCCCAAAAATAGATGACTGGATCAAGAAGATGTGGTACATATATACCATGGAATATTACTCAGCATTCAAAAAAGATAAACACATGCAATTTGCAGCAACATGGATGGCGCTGGAAGGGATCATGCTCAGCGAAATAAGCCAAAAAGAAAAAGAAAAATACCGGATGGTCTCACTCATAGCAGGAATCTAGAAAACTTAAATAAGGGACCAGGAAAATGAATAACTATAAGAAAGTAAAAATCAAAATCAACAAAAAACTATGAACCAGAGACACTTTTTGGGGGGTGGGGGCGGGAGGGGAGGGATTGGGGTCAGAATGGGGGGGTTGCAATTGTATGGGGAATATAAAAATAAAATTTATTATTTAAAAATAAAATAAAATAAGCAATTCTCTCTCCCCTCCCCCTTTTTACCCTGCTACTTCCCTCCTCTCTCTCTCTCTGTAAAATGTTTTATCTCACTAAGTATTTATCTCACTAAGTATTTTTATCAATTAACAAATATTTGATAATGTCTAGCATTGAAGAGGGTTTAGGGAAAAGGATAGTCTCAGACACTACTGGTAAAATTCTAACTTAATCTGGGCCTCCCCGGTGGCGCAGCGGTTGAGCGCTGGGTTGCGAAGCTGCCCGCAGCCTCTGCAGTGCTGGTTCGATCCCCAGCTACTCCCCGGCCACCGGAGGAGGGTCCCACATGGCGCGCAGACCTCTCCTGCCGCCCACTGCTCCCCTCAGCAGTGTACTTCGGTCCTTCTGCCTGCTCTGCTCCCCGCTCTGGCTCTGGTGAATTCCCTCACACTCCTGCGCTTCTGACTGTACCCAGTGCTTGTATAAATAAATAAATAAATCTTTAAAAAAAAGTCTGTAACCCCAATTTCTTAAAAAAAAAAAAAATTCTAACTTAATCCAAACTTTCAATGACAAACTGGAATATACAACAAAATTTTAAATATGGGTGCCATAAACAAATTCTTTATTTTGGAAATGAATCTTATGAAAATGATAAATACACAAGGATAAAGATATTTATTGTAGTACTGAATATAGTAACAAAAACTGGACAACCTAGATATCCACTATGAAAAATAAAACAAATCAATGTTCAAAAACTCGTATTTTTTAAATATTTATTTATTTATGCATACAAGAACTGGGGTATAGGCTACAGGTATGTGGAGTGGGGGGGGGGGTTGAGAAGATCCACCAGAGACAGAGCAGAGAACAGAACAGGCAGACTGACTGAAATACACTGCTGAGGAAAGCAGTAGGCGAGACAGGGGAGGTCTGCTGTGCCATGTGCATAGTTCCCTGGCCGGTGATCGACTTTATGCTGCAGTGGCTGCAAACAGCCTCACAGGTTGCATCTTAACCCTTTGCACCACCAGGGAGCAAAAATTCATATTTTTTGATATTGCAAAATCATGCCGTTGCAAATAAAAATTTATCTTTTTCTATTAGCATGAAGCATGTTCTAGATATACAATTAAGTGAAAAAGGCAGGTAAGTAGCATTTTTCTGAATTAAATACTGGTCCATTATAAATAAATGAATATTTACATAGGTAAGTAAATACTTACATAGCCACATATTTCTACACACAGAGAGCACACATTTTAGAAAATAGGTCTGAAATATTATATTATCAGTGGCTAGTTCAGAGTAGTAATTTGAACCCTTTATAAATGGATGTACAGGTTTTATAATAATAAATGTAAGCAATATTTTCATTCTTTAAAAAAAGATCAATAAAAATCACCTTATTAAATATCTCATGCTTTTAACATACAGCATTATTTTCTTACCTTTAAACCTTCAGCTGGAAGTCTATAACCAAATCTTGCTGGAAGGTCATCAAATGTCTGAGTTACATTTTCATGACTATACTAAATATAAAATTAAAAACAAGGAAGTTACAATCAATTGTCACACAAGACTTAAAACAAGTTTTATTAAACTGTTTAAATCATTTTTCCACAATTCTGATTTACTTTCAGAGTTTATTACAATAAAATTTATAAATGTACATTCATGAAAATACTAAGTAATATAAACAATTTACTACACGTCAACTGGTAAAACTGGACTCTAATTTCGTGCAATAGTTATTATAGAGAAGCAGTAATTCTGTAATATTAAATCGCCTACTAAGAAGAGTTTTTCCTGCAGTCATTCCTTAACAAAAATTTTTCTACACAAAGCCTATATGGAATTTGCTTTGGGACATTCTTTTCCCCTAACAATTTGGGACATCCTTTTCCCCTAACACGACGACCTGGAAACCCAAAGTCACTCTCAGAGCTGGCGGGACGCTGCGAGCTGGTGGAGAGCCAAAATGGGGGATCCCCAAAGCCCACGTGTCTGCCTTTTGTATCCACCTAGCTGCTTAACCCCACCCTCAGGTCCCAGCCACCTTCCCTTTGGTGGTGATGGGATTTGGAGTTCCGAGTGTCTTTGGCTTTGACCTGGGGTGGGGGTGGAGTCCACAAAGCCTATATGGAATTTGCTTTGGGACATCCTTTTCCCCCTAACAGCTGAGATCATGGCATTTGATACTGTAGGTCAGTGACACCAGCTTCCAGTGTTTTATTCATCTTCTGTCCCAGTGTCTGCAGTACTTGTGTTCCATTTTATTATCTGTGCATTATAAAGATCTGATTTAATAGAAGAGATTTATAGGATTTCTGGCTCATGAAAGATGTCTTTTCCCCAAGAGAAAAAGGAACACTGTGTCTCATTTTTAAGACACCCTCACTCTTTACATAATCTGAACATTTTTACTAGGACTGAACAATGAAGGACTAAACTCAATGAAATACATACACACAGAGAGTTGATGGTATTCAAACTCTTTAACAACTTTCCACTCCCTTATTGATACCTATGCTACAATATTAATATCAGTTCTCTACAAAAATTGAACAAAAGAAACTTCTCTGAAGAAGAAATGCAAATGGCCAACAGGCATATGAAAAAATGTTCAACATCACTTGTAATCAGGGAAATGCAAATCAAAACTACCATGAGATACCATCTTACACCAGTGAGAATGGCACATATTAAAAAAACTAGCAACAACAAATGTTGGCGAGGGTGTGGAGAAAAAGGAACTCTCTATACTGCTGGTGGGAGTGCAAACTGGTCCAACCACTATGGAGAGCTGTGTGGAGATTCCTCAACCTACTAAAGACAGAGCTTCCATATGATCCAGCAATTCCACTCCTGGGTATTTACCCAAAGGATACAGAAACATCAATTCCAAAGAGCACCTGCACCCCTATGTTTATAGCAGCACTATTTACAATAGCTAAGCTCTGGAAACAACCCAAATGCCCAAAAATAGATGACTGGATCAAGAAGATGTGGTACATATACATAATGGACTATTACTCAGCAATCAAAAAAGATAAACACATGCAGTTTGTAGCAACGTGGATGGAGCTGGACAGGATCATATTTAGCGAAATAAGCCAGAAAAAAAAAGAAAAATACCGGATGGTCTCACTCATAGCAGGAATTTAGAAAACCTGAATAAGAGACCAGGAAAAAGACTAATCAATACAAAGTAAAAATCAAAATCAGCAAGAAACTATAAACCAGAGACACACAATGGGGGGTTGGGGAAGAGGGTGGGGAAAGGAAGGCCTAGAGTCAAAATATGGGGGAGGGGGTGCAATTGTATGGGGAATATAACCAAAATGAAAATGCATACATTGTGCAAAGATGAAAAAAGATGTAAGAATTATATAAAATAAAATATTTAAATAAAAAAGGTCTTTTCCTTAGCAAATTCTCTTTGCAAGCAGTCTTAACGGAAGTTTTATTTTAATATAGAAATAAATAAATATCTAAAAATTATTGAGCATTTATGACACTTGACAGGTATTTAATCCTTACTAGAACCTTATAAAGTAAGTCTCTATCATTCTCATTTTGTAGATTGGCCACAGAATGCTGGAAATAATTTGCTCTAGTAATTTAGAGAAAAAAGAATTCTATCCAGGCAGTCTAGGCCTAGAACCCTGACTTGTAACCCACTGCCTTACACTAACTTTCATACAGTCTTACTTTCATAATAAGTGAACTGAGAGTTAAAAGGTATTAAGTACTTTGTCCAAGGTCATGGAACCACAGAATGGTAGAACTTCAGTTCAACTCAGATTGTAACTGCATTTCTAGAGTTCCGTATTGCTATACTATAATGCAATCCATTCACACCTCCACCAACTGGCTAATTCTCTTATTCTCTTCTACTTATCCCACTGACCCTCACAACCACATAACAAGCACTCATTTCTCTCTGAAAAATCCAGACAACAGAATCAAGAGATAGATTGGAAGTAAACCAAAATTGAGTTCTTTGACTTCCTCTGAAAGTATATAAAATGGATACTACTTCTAAGTAAAATCATGGAAGTAATAGTACTAAAATACTAGAATCAGAATATTCAACACTGATTTGGTTACTGATCTGCCAATTATAAAGTTTCATATTTCTCTATATAAATGCACATAATTAATAATTGTACACTTCCTTTTGGATCACAGGGAAGAAAAACAAGTTGAGATGAAAAATACTGCTAAGATAAATAATAAACTAAAGTATGAGGAATAAATACTAGGAAATATGAAAGAAAATATGAAAGAACTAAATAACCAAAGAAAAGTAAACGTTTACTGAGTTCCTACTGCATAACTGACACTATGCACCAGAAATAAAGTTTATTAAGACAAAGTCCTGCCTTCCAGGTGCTCAAGATCTCAGGGGCTTACTGACTAGTCAGCAACACACTATATAGTAGCATCTCATCAGCTTTTGAGTACTCACGCACTAGCTGGACGAATACTGATGTCAGGGAATTAAGTCAAGAGGGAGAATTCAGCTACCAAAATAAAATCATCTGGTGTATAAATAACATGATTTAAACTGACTTTGTCTTTTGAAAAGCAACATCCTAATATTTGTCCAAAATGAAACAAGAATCAATCTAATGTCCAACTTAAAAATATATTACTACAAACTCAGATTTCAGGGATGTTTGTATTCAGTTAAAAGGAAGAACTAATATTTTCTACTTCTTGACTCACTTCCTTTGAACAGCTATGTTACCACATCTAGTTCCTCTACTCAATATTTAGTTCCTTTTACAACTGGTCTTACAACTTGCCTTCCCAATCTCCCTCCCCCACTCCATCCCCACAGCTATTTCTGTATTCAGCCTTCTATCTTTTAGTTCAGCATAAAGACTAGATTTAAGAAGTGTCCAAGTTGATGGTTCTTTTACTACATAGCATCAACATACATTCCACATTTAATCTATCTGAAGCACACAGTTGGCAAGGACTGGTTGTTTTTCTGAATCTAACATATTGTTTGGTCTCTACATTAAAAAATATACCTTGGGCAATCTAATACACTGCTCCATAAGTAGAGGATGGTGAGAATAACTACAATGAAAATTAAAAAGATAGGGCCTCCCCTGGAGGTGGATGAGCACCATGCTGTGAAGCTGCCCGCAGCCTCGGCAGTGCCAGTTAGATCCCGGCCGGCCAGTGAGGGTCCCACATGGCACTGCAGACCTCTCCTGACTTGCCCACTGCTCCCCTCAGCAGTGTATTTCATCAGTCTGCCTGTTCTGTTCCCCGCTCTGTCTCTGGTGAATCCTCTCACTCTCCCGCGCATCTGGCCTATACCCTGGTTCTTGTATAAATAAATAAATAAACCTTTAAAAAAATTAAAAAGATAAACAAAAAATTTACTATGTGTCAGATACTATTCAAAGCACTTTATCTAACCATCACTACAACACTCTGGTTTACAAAGAAAGAAAATGAGTCATTTATAGTGGCTAAGTAATTTGATCAGAATCAGACAGCTGGCTTAGTTCCCAGAGTAGTTCACTGAAAATCACTGAACCCATCACAGATCTGAACTACAGAACAAGAATATATTTCAGGTAAAAAAGAAAGAAGGAACACAGAGCGTACCAGATGTGAGAAGCAAGAGAGAAAAGAGAGGAAAGGGAAAAAGAGACTGGAAGAAATCAAAGGACAAAAGGAAAACTTTACTCCCTGCTCAGCACATAAATCCTCTACCTCATTTTAAAAGTCATCCCAACAATATTTCAAGGTCTTTGGGGACAAATTTAGAAAAGAAAGTAGAATAGCAATGGACTCTTAATCCTTAAAGATTCTACTTTCACTCCATCTCAAAAAGAGCCAGCTTATTTTAGGAAAAAACTCATCAACCAATTCCTTACTAGAGAGAGTAGGAAGAGAGAGAAGTCCCATAAGGATTAGAGTCGTTGTGCTTTCAAAAGCACAGAAACCAGCCTTGCGCTATCAAGTTCTATAATAATCCTAGACTCTTCCACATATGCTCCAGAACGCAGAAGCATGCCTAAGAACCACATCAAGTTTTGATCAGCAATGAGTCTGGCCCTTCTATTTAATCACCTAATATCATTAAGCAAATCACTTACATCCAGATAGCAAGTGATACATCCTTAGCAGAGTACTTACAGGTGTATGTGCACACACACAGAGTTAATTCTTCTGTTTCTAGTTTCATGGAAATGATTAATAACAAATATATACACATTCCAGTAGGACAGTAAAATAGTAGCCTAGAAAGGCCTATGAAGATTTTGAGAAGCAATCGTTTCTAAAAAATTTTCTATCATCAAACACAAGATTATCGTCTTCTCTTCTGACATAAACATTAATCTTAGGTTAAAATTTTCTATAGACATCTTCAACAATTTCTTTAAAGTATCATTATCAAAGTTGTTACAGATATACTAATTATCAAGAAAAACAATTAAGACTGTACATAAAATACCCAGCATGTGAATACATGTTTGCATGTACGCTCCTGAGAGCAGACACATTCTCAAGGGCAATATTTATCTGGCACTTATTGTGCATGAAATCTTATGCCAGATATTGAGCAATAAAAGGTGAGAAAGGTCCCCTACTTTCAGGTTACAACAGTGTATATGTGTCTATATGTTTGTTTGTAGGTAAATACCTTATAAGACCAAAACTTTTCTTTAAGGAATGCTTTAAGATATGGATAAGTTTTATTGCACTTACTGCTAAAATGTCCGCTTCTACAGGTAGCAGGTTTAAGAATGCAAAGAGCTGAACAGTCAATATGGTATAGACTTGAGTGGCTGACAGCATGAGCATCCCTATGGAGAGCAACATCTTGCTGAAAAATCACCTAGAAGATAAGCAGATGAGTAGTAATGAGCTCTGGTGCTTTGTTCCTGAAAATAAGTCATTTGATATAATTCTTAGTATACAAAAACATCTTTTAAATACTTTGTTAACACTAAAGTGTTAACACTAAAGTATTTAACACTAAAATTGGTCAATATAATTAATGTTTAATATATACTTATTAATTAACTAATTAATATTATATTTCAAAAGCATAAGAATTTACATAGAATTGGACACTAAGGTAAACACCCAAGTTTAGTCACAATACCTATACGATTCACAACTCTAAATAATCCCATAGTTCTGCTTATACTTATGTCTGTCTACTGACTCAATTATGGAGAAAACTGAATTTTAATCAAAGTAATAATTAAAAGTAAATTTGCTTTAAAATGTCAAAATTTAAGATTTTTTTAATTTTTAAATATAATGTATAAATCCACACATACATTTATTTTTTCATTTATGTTGTGCCTACATTAAAGAACAGTAAAAAAGTAATAGTCACTTATTATAAAATAATACTTATTGCCCTAACTTCAAATTAAAGCGGATGTGTGATTTTAGGGGAATTGTACCAATTTCTATAAAATTAATAAAACTGTATGTATGAGAATGAAAATGGGAGAACAGCTTCAGACAGTTATACATTAAGAAATAAGAAATATAGGGCCTCCCCCGTGGCGCAGCGGTTGAGCGCTGGGTTGCAAAACTGCCCGCAGCGCCGGCTCGATCCCCGGCCACCGGGCGAGGGTCCCCCATGGCGCGCAGACCTCTCCTGCCGCCCACTGCTCCCCTCAGCAGTGTATTTCGTCAGTCTGCCTGTTCTGTTTTCCGCTCTAGCTCTGGTTAATTCTCTCACCCTCCCGTGCTTCTGGCTGTACCCACTGCTTGTATAAATAAATAAATCTTAAAAAAAAAAAAAAAGGAAATGAGAAATATTAAACCCAAATGAAAACACAGGATTCAAGGAAACCAACCAAAAAAACTATAATTTAGGGATGATGTGAATATGGTAAAGATTTTAGATACATTTTTTAAATAACCTTATTTTCAAAACAGTGATGTGTTATCGCCGTACCAAAAAGCCCGTACTTTTTATGAAATGTTATAATATCTGTAATTTACTTTAAAATAGTCCAGTCACAATTTAAAAAATAACAAATGTTAAATCTAGGTGAAGAATATACTGAATTTTATTACACTATTTCTCTAATTTTCTAACAGTTTTTTAATTCAGAGAGTAAACACTCATTTTATAACTCAGTAAGCTTTAAAAAAGGACTCCATCTCCTTTTATTTTGTAATATACATAACATAAAATATACCATTCTAAGTATTTTGAAGTGTAAAGTTCAGTGACATTAACTGCATTCACTGTTGTACAACTGTAACCCCATCCATCTCCAGAACTTTTTCATCCTTCCAAACGGAAATCCTGTACCCATTAAACACTAATTTCCCATTTCTCCCTCCTCCCAATCCCAGACAACCACTATTTCTATGGATTTGACTATTCTAGTACCTTATATAAGTGGAGTCATTTTTTTATTCATTCATTTGTGGCTTATTACACTCAGCATAACGTTAACTCAGTCTTCAATATTCATACACATTTATGTCTAAGTATTTACGCAAAGAATATAAAAACACTAATATGGAAAGATTTATGCATTCCTATCTTCACAGCACTTTATTCACAATAGCAAGTCATAGATCCAACCTAAAGTACACAGTCAAATGAGTAGGTAAAGAACCTATGGAATATATACTCAATGGAATAGTAGTCAGCTCCTAAAAAAGATGAAATAGTGCATTTTGGACAAAATGGACAGATTTGAGGTGATTATGCTAAGTGAAGTAAGTCAGAAAGTGAAAGACAGTAACCAGATGGTTTCACTAATTTGTAGGAATATAAACAACCAAAGAAAACAAACTGACAACAAAATCGATTCTCAGACTCTGAAAAAAACAGAAGGGAACAGAGGACACAGAAGGGTGTAGGAAAGGGAAGATGACTGGGTATTGGTACTGGAGCTTGGGTGGGGGGGTGAGTGAAGCATGAACACCTGTGAAGGTGTGAAACTGCACTTCCAAAACTATGTAAATGACAGACAAATCAATAAAATGTGAGATAAAAATACATAGTTTTAAAAAAGGCCTAAAAGGGCCTCTCTGGTGGCGCAACAGTTGAGCACCAGGTTGTGAAGCTGCCCGCAGCCTCTGCAGCGCCAGTTCGATCCCCAGCTGCTCCCCGGCCACCGGAGGAGGGTCCCACATGGAACACAGACCTCTCCTGCAGCCCACTGCTCCCCTCAGCAGTGTACTTCGGTCCTTCTGCCTGTTCTGCTCCCCGCTCTGGTTCTGGTGAATTCTCTCACCCTCCCGCGCTTCTGACTGTACCCAGTGCTTGTATAAATAAATAAATAAATCTTAAAAAAAAAAAAGACCCAAAAATTTAAATTCATGAATAAAAATGTCTCAAGAATGGTAAAAAACATTCATCCAAATTGTAATATGCCAGAATTTCCTTCTTTTTAAGGCTGGATAATATTCCATTAAAAGCAAGGGCCTCGTGCCTCCCCTGGTGGCCCAGGTGGTTGAGCACCGTGCTGTGAACTGTCTGCAGCCTCAGCAGTGCCAGTTCAATCCCGGCCCGGACAGCAAGGGTCCCCCATGGCGTGGCAGACCTCTCTTGTCGCGCCTGCTGCTCACCTCAGCAGTGTATTTCTTCAATCTGCCTGTTCTGTTCCCCACTTTGTCTCTGGTGAATCCTCTCACCCTCCCACGCTTTCTCCCAGTTCGTGTATAAATAAATAAATCAATCTTTTTTTAAAAAAAGCAGATAACATATTTTGTTTATCCATTCATCCACTGATGGACACTTGGTTGCTTCCATCATTTTACCTATTATGAATAATGCTGATATGAATAAGGTAAAAATACCTGAATCTCAACTTTCATTTTTCTGGGGTATGTACTCAAAAGTTGTACTCAAAGTATGTACTCAAAATTGCCAGATGATACAGTAATTCTTTGCTTAATTTTTTACAGAACTGTTTTCCATAGCAGTTGCTTCACTTTATATTCCCAACAGAAATGCACAAGGGTTCCAATTTCTTTACATTCTTGCCAACACTTATTATTTTCTGTTTGAAAACAATCATCCCAGTGGGTATCTCATTGTGCTTTTGACTTGCATTTCTTTGATGATTAGTGATGTTAAGCATCTTTTCATGTGTTTATTAGCCATTTGTACATCTACATTGGAGAAATGATTATTCAAGTTGTTTGCCCATTTCCAATTGGTGGTTGTTGATTTTGAGTTGTAAAAGTTCCTCATATATCCTGTACATAATTTCCTGTTCAGATACATTATTGAAAAAATGTTTTCTTTTTTTTTAAAAGATTTGTTTATTTATGCATACAAAAACTGGGGTGTAGGACAGAAGTGCGGGGGGGGGGGGTTGGGTGTGGATTCACTAGATAGAGTGGGGGCAGAACAGGCAGATCTACTGAAATACACTGCTGAGGGGAGCAGTGGGTGAGACAGGAGAGGTCTGCTGCGCCATGTAGGTTAGCTCCCTGGACACCTGGGGATAGAACTAGTGCCACAGTGGCTGGTGATAGTGCTGTGTTTTTAACCCCTGCACCACCAGGGAGGCCTGAAAAATATTTCTCCTGAGTTGTCTTTTCACTTTCTATGAACAAGGATATAATTTTGATGGAGTTCAAATTATGTTTTCTTTTGTTGCCAGTGCTTTTCTTTTAATGTCATATGTAAGAAATCAATGTCAAATCCATTATCATTAAGATTTTTCCCTTGTGTTTCTATCAAAGAGTTGTGCATATTAGCTCTTATATTCAGGTCTTTGATTCATTTTGAGTTAATTTTTGTGCACAATATAAAGCAGGATACAACATTCATTTGCATCTGGGTACAGTTTTCCCAAATCTACTTATTGAAAAGAATGTCCTTTCCTGTTGAATGAACTTGGCACCTTTATCAAAAATCATTTGACCATGGACTCTCTGTTTTATTCCACTTGCCAAATGTACATAAAAATATCAGTGATACACTGTTTTAATTAAAGTAGCTTTATATTTAGTTTTGATATCAAGAAGCATGAGACTTCACATTTATTCTTTGTCAATACTGTTTTTGCTAGCTGAGGTTCCTTGAAATTGAAATTGCACATGAAGTTTAGAATAGATTTTTCTAATTTCAGCAAAACACATTATGGGCTTTTGATAAGGAATGCATTGAATCTATAGATTGTTTTGAAAACTGCTGACATCTTAACAACATTACATTCATGAATCCATGAACATGGCATATCTATACTTTTACTTATTTCTTCTTTCATTTCTTTTGCAAACATTTTGTAGTTTTCAGCATACACATCTTTTACCACTTTGGTCAGTTTATTCTTAAGTATTTGCTTATTTTTCATACTATTGTAAATAAATACAATTATTAATTTCTTTTTTAACCAATTGTTCACTATTAGTGCATAAGAATACAACTGGTTTTTTTTTTTTTTGCTGGTTCATTTTGTATCCTGCAACTTTGCTGAATCCATGCATTAGTTCTAATTTTATTTGTATGGATTCTTCAAGATTTTATAGGAAAAAAATCAATCATGTTGTCAGTAAACAGAGATAATTGTGATCCTTGCTTTTCAATCTAGGTCCATTTTATTCCTTTTCTTGGCTAATTACGCTGGTTAGGACTTTTGGCATTATAGTGAATAGAAATGGTGAAAACTACTACAAACTTGTTTTTTTCATGACCATAAAGGAAAAGCGATTTAGCCTTTTATCACTGAGTATATCAAGTTTGGGTCGCCAATGTGGACATTATTATATTGAGACACTTTCCTTCTGTTTTAATATATTGGGTGTTTTTATCATGAAAGGCTGTTGAATTTGTTGAATGCTTTTTCTACATTAATTGAGATGGCATGTTTCTGTCACTTCATGTTGTTTATGGACTGA